TCAGAAGTAAGAAGGATACTACTTTCAAGGAAAAGAATGTTTTTTTAGATTTCCAAATTTGTTATTTTATATATGAAAGATAAGAATCAGCACATTCTTTTCCTTCTTACCAGATATTTAATGAGTTTACATATTTCATTTTATGATTCAGGACCTTTAAATAATTAGGATTGTTCTTTTTTAGCATACAGTCAACTTCAAGTTATCCAGGGATAGGGGAACATGGATACACCCCTGAATAACACCATGTAATTTGAAACCTTATAATGGGAAGTCTTGTATTGGACACATGAACAGCTTACGGGAATGCTGTTGGGTGTCTTTGGCACTAAGAGGTGGAAATGGGGATCCAGGAGGAGGGAGAAAGGTGGAAAAGGTAGGTGGGAGGGTATTTAAGGCAGCTCTGTCCTTTTTAAAAAAACCCATAGACTAACTAAACTATAAAGTAACCACACTCTTTTTGGGTAATGGGTCTCAAGGTGGCAGTGACCCTCAATCCCTAGTGTCCTGTCTCTAAAGGAATCTGAAGTGGCACAAGAGTCCTGGTGCTCTGGGAAAATACTGCTCTCCCCTTCCTCTTCCCAACAGAGTTTTTAATTAGTTCGTTTTAAAACTCCTTGGAGATTTAAGTCTGTTAGTTAAAGTACCTTATCTTGAATTACTTAAATCAGTTAATTATTTAGATTACCTAAACTTCACTGGAATCCTTAGAAATAGGAATTTTGGTAGTAGGGAAATGGAGAGGTAACTTTGGATCACTGGGCACTTGAAGAGAGGACAGTCCTGGGTGAGTGGTGGAAGTGGGGGGCTTTGGACAACCAGAGGGCAGCATGATGGTGCTGGGAGGCTGGGTAGGGGATGACCAGGAGGTGGGAGAGGATTGCATAAGGGAGGTGGGAGGGCCAAAGACAAACTTTGCCTTCTTTGCAATTTTGCCTAGGGCCCTGGTGGTGGCAACCGCCTGTGTGCCACTGAAAATCGTGCCGATGCCTGGCATACTGCATAAATGGAAGCAGGGTACCGCGTGAGTTGAAACATTGGTCACACTATATAAAGTTTGTATATGTGAATCAGTGTAACTCATACCCATATAACTGGGGGTCTGACTGTATTTGGATTTTTCTGATAAGGCATCATGGGCTAAGGAAAAGAGCACTGGGCTGAGACTCAGGAGACCTGGTTTCTAGCCCCAGCTGTACCTCTAATTATAAACTTGGGTAAGTCACTTAACCTTTTTTGCCTCAAGTTAAGTCTATAATTTGTTATATGGGAAACCAAATAATTTCCTATGTTATACTAAAAAAATGTTGATTTAAGTTTTTTTTTTTTAGAAAGGAAGAACTATAAGTAGATATTAATCACTAGTATCTTTATCTCAAGTTTATGATTCATTATGTTTTATAAATACCTTTCTGTTTTGGTTTTTAGCGTTAATAGAGGGGAGAGGGATAATTTGTTTTTCCTGAACATATTTCATTTGAAAGCAAGGAGGAGCTACACAGGCAAATTCAAGAAACAGTTTGAGAATTGTCCTATGTGACAGAGGAACCCAATGCCCACACACAGACTGTAGTCATTTTTGCTGTGCTGGATTAATTGCAAGAGTGTCCCTTAGCTAAAGCCCTTTTCCCAACACATACTGTTTTGTTGTAATAAGTCTCTGACCCTGATCCCAGGAAGGCCTGGAAGGTGTAAGAGATAGGAATTGAATAAAATTGAGGGTGTGGATTTAGATTACATCCTAAGTTTAGAAACTAGGGAAGTTACAAAAGGTAATTCTGAGGGTTCCATATCTCTTAATTACTTATACCTTTAAATGGGAACAGAGACCATCTCTGACAGGTTAAAACAGGCCAGGAATGGCAGCCTGCCCTCAAACAATCAGTAGGCTAAGAATGTAACATATAGAATAGAATTTTATAGCATCTTCGTTGTCCATGGTGGTTAAGAAATGTTTTGGGCAAGCTAAATCTTTCAGATAATTTTAACTATTTTTGATAGTAATCTTTCTAACTGTATGGTGTGCTTCCTCAGTTAATAAGAGTATGTTATTTATAATATTTCTGCTGATCAGTTATATTGTGCAGTAGTTATAGTTTATGGGATGTAAAATTGAAAGGATACTCGTCCTGGGAGATATGCAGGAAAATACAGTTCAGAAAGTCATTTACCTGTTTCTAATATAAGTTTAGTGGTAGGACAGTATGACATTGCTGCCTTTCTGCAAAATTACTGTATTAAAGATGGAAGTAGTAGTTTCTTTAGTGGATTTTCTTTATAAAATCATCTTTACTGTAATCTATGTTCCTTGACTTGTCATCAACATTAAAAGCATTTTCTTTGAATTTTCTCTCATTAACATAATGAACCATATTCATTTCTTGGTCAGTTCTTTAATTCCACTTGGAGCATTCATTTTTATTGAAGGAGGCGGAGCCTTTAATGTACAAGCTCATGTTTTTGAAATGATAATGGGGTATATCTTAGTCTAGAGCTTGGAGATTTTTTAACATTATGAGAAATTTTAGCAAATGTTAGGTTAAACAGTAGTTTCTTCAGTTTTAGTAACTTTGATTTTATCAGTGTTCCAGGCATGTCCAAAACACTGAAAGCTCTGTTAGCACCTGCTTAGTGAATCAGTTAAAAAAAAAAAAGTTTTCCTCATTTTGTAGTTTTTTTGTTGTTGTTGTTAGAGAGATGGGGTCTAGCTATGTTGCTCAGGCTGGTCTTTAACTCCTGGGCTCAAGCAGTCCTCCTGCCTTGGCCTCCCAAAGTGCTGGGATTGCAGGTGTAAGCCACTATGTTTGGTCCTCATTTTGCGTTTTGAACTCTGAATAATATTTCTACAGAGCAGCCTAGAAAACAATAAAAAGTATCACCTCATATAACCCTGCATAAATTATCCCTGGATTCTCTGTGGTTGTTTAGCTCTCCTCAAGTAATCTGATGCTTCTGAGACATTCTTTTACCTCAGGTGAAAAATAATAAATCGAAACCATAGGAAAATCATTTTGTCTATCTCTACATTAGCTCTCTAAGGAGAAAGTAGTAGCTTTTAGTTTAGGTAGGGTGATGTCATAGGATAAAATGGTGGTGAGCTGCGCATTCAAGATGGGTAATAGGGATTTAAAGGCAATTAGGTGTCATGGGTCAAGGTCAGGTTTAGTGAGTCAGATAGTGTTCAGTAACAGGTAGTTCATACAAGCATTAAAGCTTGAAGTTGCTGAGAGTTCAGGGAAGCAGTGGGGTGATGGCTTAAAACCGAAGGTCAGTAAGTGTCGGCGAGACTAGATAGATGAGGAAGATTCTCCTCAAAAATGGAATTCCAGAAAGGTGCTTGAAATGGACTGAATGCTTAAAGCCCAATGCTGTTAGTATATGTAGTTCTTGAGGAAACAAACAATTCTACCCAGCTTAATCAGTCTACTAAGAACTTGTAGACTAAGAAGATGAAGGAAGTTGGAACATCTTGCTGGAAGGAATGAGGGAGTGAAAGAGGGTAAGTTTCTGATGGGAATCTTGTGGCTTTAGTAACCTGCAGAAAAGCAATTGTTTCTTTTCGGTTTAAATTCTCAAGCACTAGCAGCTGCTAGGGTGGATATAGGAAAGCAAGGCTGCAATAGAACAATTAATCAATTTTGTAAGATTATTGAGGCTATAGAAAGAAGTAGTTTGTAAAAACTCTGAAATTGTCTACAGCTTCATTTTTGTTTGAATTATATAACTTCTGACTTTAAGAAGTCAAAGCCATCAGAAAGTAACACGTAGTTCAGTCAAGTGAATAAATGTCATGTTTTGCTATTTAACATGGGCCAGAAAAAAGAATCTTTAAAACTTCTCTCCAAAAACCACTCACTCAGTATTGACCCATATGTTCTAATGTAGTTGTGAACCACGTACTACAGATGTTTGACCTACTTGACTCAACATGAAAAGAATTTAACCAGCTGCCCTTGATGAATCTTTTGTCATGTCTCCTGAATATGGTAAATAGCTTTTTTTTTCCTCTTCTTGAGACCTCAGATTTCTGCAGACCCCAGTTTTCTCCTTTAGAATTAAACTTTCTAAAGCTTTGCTTTTCAGTTGAAGAGATTGTGGATATTTATTGGATAATAGGTATAGAACACCTGGCTGTTTTGTTCTGTATTCTGCCCTACTATTAGTTTACACAGTATATCCTTTTTAGTTACTTGAGGGGATGTTTTAGATCAGGGTCTGGCACCATGGCCTCCTGCTTTTTGTAAATAAAGTTTTATTGGAACACAAACATGTCCACTTGTATACATACTGCCTATGGCTGCTTTGCCTTTAAACAGCAGAGTTGAATAGTTACGACAGAGTTATATGTCCCACAAACCAAAGATTTACTATCTGGCAGTTTATGAAAAAGTGATCACTTGTTTTAGGTAAGTGATTCTCAGAGGTGTGGTCCTCAGACCAGCAGCCTCAGCATTACTTGGGAACTTGTTAGAAATGCAAATTCAGGGGATTGGGCCCCAACAATCTGTGTTTAAGATGCCTTCCAGGTGATTCTGATGGACATTAAAAGTTCGAGAAACCTTGTCCTAGATAAATGTTTTCTAAATGTTCATCACATATATTGCCTGTAATTTTTTTTTACTGTTTTCTGTTTATTTAATATTTTTCTTTATTTCTACTAACTTTCTAAAAATTTAAGTTGAGTTTTAAAAGTTTGTATCACCATAAAAATAAATACAAATAAAACGGTGTATTATAAAGCTATAATTAGACCCTATTGTCATCTAGGGTTCCCTGTGCTAAAAATTAGAACTTATGACATGTATTAAATATACTATTGCCAAATGGCCCTTTTTTCCTGACTTAATCATGATAAATAACTTTCTTACTAAGTGACTGAATGTTGTTAAAAATGTCATGTTGGCCGGGTGTGGTAGTGTGTGCCTGTAGTCCCAGCTAATGGGAGGCTGAGGCAGGAGGATTGCTTGAGCTCGGGGGTTCGAGGCTGCAGTGAACTACAATCATGCCAGTGTACTTGAGCCTGGGTGACAGAGAGACCCTGCTTCTTAAAAAAAAAAAAAAAAGTGTGTGGATAACTGTAAAATTCCATGTTAGTAAAATCATGTAACACCTACAATCATCTATTATGCAAATCTCATACTTTGGAAAATACTGTTCTAGGTAGTATTCATGTGAAAGGAAAGCTGATTAAACTGTATATACCCAAGCCTATAAACAGAAATGACTGGCCAGAAATACAAGCCAGTGACACAGTGAGATGTAGGAGATCCCTAGAGAGGCCCATCTAGACCTACAGGGTGAAATTACCTGCTTTAGAGCAGGTCAATTTCTCACCTCTGCTTTAGAGTTTTGGTCCATGGATCAGCAGTTCTGCAGAATTTCACCAGCTGATTTCACAAGGGGAATGTGAAAAGTTGCCTGTCTGTGGGAAAAGCTGGTTATCAAAGAGAAGCCTGGAATAGAAATTCCGGGGGAAGTGGCTATGATTCTGCATCATACGGGAACAGAGCAGGGCATGCTTGCTAGGAATAGCAGTTGATTTACCTCAGAGTCTAGAAGCTATGTATTTGTATTGGGAAATTCCTGTGTTATATGATTTATGATTTAATTTGCCTCCTAGAGGGAATTAAATTAGAGGGAATACTTCCCTATACATGGTGTTCTGTTTATTTATTAGTAGATGTGCTTTAGGGTATAGTCATTGTTGATAACAGTTGAATCTTACTTTCCCTTAGTATCCCCAGGTTGCTGAGCTGCTTTAGTTATTTCTTTCTTTCCTTTTCTTAGAGATTGTAAACATATTTGCTTCTGTTGTCTTTTGACTCTGTGCTAAAATAATCCTAGAGGGACCAAAAATCTAATGGGGAGTGAAGATTTACACATTAATAGTTACGTTTATTTTTAAGTGATACATTCTGTGATACTGATTTTGAAAAAGTGTTTTAAAAAGTATAAAGGACAAACACCTATGTGAATAAACAAATGTTATTTTGTACATTTCTGTCAAATTTTAAAAAGTAAATAAGGCATTGCAAATAAAGTCCCATGTGTTCTTTTTCATGGTCTCAGTCCTTTTCCGAGAGGCTTGCTGTGAATTAGGTGTATATTCAGTGTTACACAGTATTTCTGCAGTGTTGTTTCAGTAGTTTTAAGGCTCACGTCTCCTTCATGGTAATCTGTTTTTCATTTTAATTTCCTTCCTTTATCATTGGGTTGGTTGTCTGTCACCTCTGTCCTTTAATATTCTCATTTCTTTTTCCTTTTTATTTCTTTCCTTTGTTGGTTTTAGATTTGAGGGGTGGCTCTAGTTGGCTCCTATAGCTTTTACCCAGTGGATGAGAACTGTCTTTTTTGATAGATAAATCAACCAGTCACTTTTTCTTTGATTCTTTTCAGCTGTTTCTTCATAGCCAAAGGTAGCTTTCATTACTTCTAATTTTGTGTATAGAAAGTTGTGGATGATAGAAGGTACCAGATATCCAGTGTGCAAGTGTTACTATATCAAAATAGCAGCTCTGCAAGTAAGTATCAAAATATGTAATTTAGCAGACTGCAACTTTTTATGACATATATCTTTCATTTGTTTGTTTTGAGGGGGGCTCTATGTTGCTCAGGCTATCTGAAACTCCTGGCCTCAAGCAATCCTCCCACTTTGGCTTCCCAAAGTGCTAGGATTACAGGTGCGAGCCATCGTGCACGTCCTTTATGACATATATCTTAAAACACATTCTGTATAACTCACTTTAGGATTTTTTTTTTTCATTTAAAAATTTTTATTTGAGATAGAGTCCCACTCTATCGCCCAGGGTGGAGGGCAGTGGTGCAATTGATTACAGCTCATTGCAACCTTGAAATCCTGGGCTCATAGAACTTAATTTTAAAGTGACTATTTATTCAGGTTTTTCTAAGTCTCTCTTAAGTCCAAGAAGAGAAAACTACCTGTCACTCAGATGTTCTGAAATAATATGTTAATAGATTTTCTAAAGTAGGTACCGCCAGAAATGTAATATGTCATTCATCCCTGCCAGCTGCTAAGACTCTTTGCTTGTATAAGGAGAGAAGATATAGGTTGGGACATGGAGTGGAATAGAGCCCTTGGAATGTAGCTACTCTAGTATTTCTGTTCTCACATTTCCATCATCACCATTCTCAGCTCTTAAAGACCCTAAAGGCTTTTTTCGCTACTCCCAAGATTGATTCCCAGTCTCATTCTTTATAATGTTGTTATATGGATTTTCACAGACTAGTGGGCTAGATTTTCAGAATTTTAAAAGCAGTAATCTTTGATCATATCCAACAAGAATGAACTTTTTCTGGAAATGTCTTATACAGTGGGCATTGTGTTTTTAAAATTTTGGGCTTGTCATGGGGAGTATTGGTGGGAGTGATATTGGTACCTATTTGTAATTATAAACTTATAGGGCCATGTGAACCAAAGGATCACAAGGGATGGCCTTTCTGAACTGTATAGTGCCATATGTTTGCATTTTCTGGAGGAAGGGAAACTACTACTACTCCTCAGTGCGACTTTATAAGTTCTATCAGAAAGAAACGACTTGACACATATGTCAGACTGCCGTAATTTTCCCCCCATTGCCATCTTTGGTGTAGCACTCTTTTCTTACGTAATAAATATATGCCCCAAAAGTTTAACATATATCAAGTCATATTAAATGTTTTCAAAGCATCTATAGTCATATTATGTTAAAACTTGGTGGTGAATCTTTTTATAAAATGAACCCTGTACTTTGAACTGCTTAAATATACAGTAGGTTAAATGGAGTGTATCTATAAACAAGGGAACATAGAGCGGAGGAGTAATAAGTTTTTTTTTTAAAGGTTGATCACTAAAGGGTTTGTATAGGTGGATTTTAAGATGACTTCTGAAGGAACAACAAAGGTAGGTGGGAGAAGTTAGTATAGTTGGTGGGAAAGTTTGAGGAGGGTGTAAAAATTATCAGATTGGTTCCTCAGTATAGTAGTTACTGTGCAGCTGTAGTCATCTGTTTGCCTTTACCTTGGTTCCACATGAAGACACAGATTTTACTTGTGCATTTCTTAAGGTCTCGTTCTGCCCTGGACTAGACTAGAAATTGCCCATGGGTCTTTATACAGTTTTCACATTATTATGTGGACGTGGTAGCTTATGTTGGAACAAGTGGAGGGAGGAAATTGGAGGGAAAAAGAGGGAGGAACATTTTTTTCTGCCTTTGAGGATTCAAGGGATCAGGGAAACAAGACATTTTAAGCTTTCAGTTCTATACCTCACTAAATCTAGCTTTCCTTTCACTGAAGTGTTAATGGATCTTTCAAAGGGAAGGGGCCTGCCCTGTCTCAAGCCACCTGTGACACATGGGCCCTAACAACTGTACCTGTGGGGAGGGTTTTGATTGTTACACTGGAGAATATGGGAGGGCTTCCCCTCCCCTTCCCCCATTTATAGACATGGGGATGCTTCCATTGCTTTGTGTGCTGTTGCATTTTCTCCTCCCTCTTTGTTTTCCCTAAGCTAAGCTCTAAGCTAATTCTGTACAAAAGAAATACTGATTGTTTTTGTAAATTGCTTGCCATTAATGCCTGATAATATGCAGTAAAATAGGATTCTGCATACCATTAAATATGTCAAATATTACAAACTTGAAGGTTCTTTTGAAATTACAATACTAAACTCAGTTCACTTTTGCTTAGCCTTCACAGTTGTTGATCACATAGCATGGTCATCCACTCACAGCTTAAAAAAATACAGGGAGCATCGGAGAGAATGGGTAAAGTAAAATTTTGATGTTTTTAAAATAGCAACTAAATCTATGAAAGTTGATTTGATTTCTTGTTTGTATGGGAGGGAGAGGGTGGGTAGCACTGGTGGGGGAGGGGTGTATATTGGGAAAATAGCATGCACCATATATATTAATAAAATGATGTCAGATACCACCTAGGCTAAGGTTTTAACTGTTACTACTAAAATTTAAGTTTAAATCACTTTCAGAAAAAGGTAGGACCATAAAATGGCAGTGTTGGAATTACAATGGGCTTATTTTTCCCTCCTAACAGATTGAAGGGGTTTTTGAGAATAGCAGTATTTGAGTACAGTTTGGACAGGAGCCCTCTTTTTAAAATGACCTGTCCATATTCCCTGAGTGAAACTGACTACCTCAGTACCACCTTAGGCTCTGTTACCATTGGTGAAGGAACTAGACAGGAATAGTATGCATCCTAGTTTTTATTGTTTACCTGTGACTCAGATGTTCCCAAATAAATGTTATAATTCATGAAACTCATGAAAGGGTTGAACAAAAGAGGGAGGTAAGAGAGTTGTTACCTTGAAGATAGTTGTTTGGTAGGAAATACTAATAGAAAATTTGATGCTTAAAATGAAAAATACTTAACCTGCCAAAGTTCTAAATCAAGTTTCTAATTCTAAAAACTTGACTATGTAGTTGTTATGCAAAGCTTAATTAACTATTGTGGAGGTTGTAAGGTAGAGAGACCTCCATGTTTTCACAGGTATGACATTTTTGTTGACTGAAATCACTTGGTCTAATCTCTACTTCATTATTTTAATTTTTTTTTTTACTTTGTCTATACACTAGAAATCTAGATTAAAAAATGAAAAAAAAAGAAATCAAATTTTACCCAAAATATGTTGTTCTGGCCCCAACTTTGCTATTCCCTTACATGAAGCCATTTGCCAAAGCCAAATATGGTTTACTTACTGTTCCCTAAACCTTCCTGCCTCTTTAAGCTTTATTCAGTTTGGAATGCTCTTTTTTCTACTTTCCTTTGGTCTAAGTTCTTTCTTTCCTTTAAATTTTGGCTTCTACTTATTGCATGAAGCCTTTCCCAACCTTTCCAGTCTTGGTGGTCATTCTAGTCTTAGAATTCCTGAAGTACTACCTAATTGAAACCCCATTTGGCACTTGGATCATGTTATCTTGTATTAATATTTACTCATTTATATGACTTATTTCCTTAGCAAAATTGTGGGCTTTTTGAGGGTAGAGAGCTTGTCTTACTTATATGCCTCTTTGCAACTCCATTGCCTAGTACAGAGGATATAGTCACTGATAGGTTTGAGTCTGTGATTTAAATACAGTGTTGTAACAGGGCAAATTTTTTCCCCATAATTTAGGTTATTTTTATATGAGTGCCCACAAAACCCAAAGGTAAAGTACATTGAACTCAAAATAATTATAAGGAGATTGGTTCGAATTCCCTATTTGTGATTTTTTTTTTTTTTTCATATAGGCACTGTTTTACCTACTTTCTTTTGAAAAACATGGTTTGGGTCAGATATCTTGACAGAAACCAAAATTACCAGTATTTTTATTTTAAAATTCTTTGTTGCTTTAGCAAAATTGCACTTTCATGGGATAAGCCCAAATAAATTTATTAAATACTGCATGTTATGTAGCCAAATTGTTCTACAATGTCAACCTTAAAAAATAAAGTCCCTTAAGTAGAAGTTTAAAAATATCAATAAACAGATACTTAGTTGTTATTCCCTCTCAGAGTATTTGTATATCTCAAATTACTAGGGATTTTATTATTTTATTGTTTTAAGATTGCTATAATAGCTGATAGTTGATAGCTGTAGTTGCAGTGTTTGCTACAGTTATCAAGTATTTATGGAACACCCATTCATTTGCAGTGAGGAGTTATTTTAAAATACTTTTTGGCATTTATAGAAACTGATTCTTTTTTTAAAAGCTCAGGAGGGAAAATATATACAACTATTATGTATCCATAAAAATTTTTTTAAAAGTCACCAGGAATACTTGCTGGTTTTATATGTTTATATTTAGAATTGTTCATATTTTACCTGATAGTCTTCAGGACACATATGCCTTAAATTTAATGTGATATATTAAGCAAAAACAGTCACTAGTCTTGATGAAAGATTTGGTCAGTAAAAAAACTTCCATGAATCTTGATTTTATTTGAAGGCCTGAGGGGTTAGTTTAACAAAGCACTGAAATGATACACTGTTGCATTATCATAAAGCTTAAATACTTGTAGCAGGGAGGCTACTATTAATAGATATGTAAGGGTTTTTCTTCTTTTTCTTTTTTTTCCAACTTTTAAAATTTTGTCATCTTTTAAATTTTCTAACATAATTAGGGTGCAGATTTAAAACAAATATTTTTTTTCTTATATGCTAGGAAGCAAAAAGCTTCTAATACGGCATTGCTATTCTGGTGTGAGCTTATCATAGTACCATTATAACATGAGCTTGAGGCCCTCACCAAAGTCTTGAAATATACTTGTTTTAAGAGACATTTTTTTAAAACCCCAGTTAGCCCAAGGACTACTTTCCAGAGCTCCAGCCTTGGACCTTTACCTATGGTCAGTCATATTCTTATCTGGGGTTACACTTGTTAAGTCAGTATTTTAGAAAATAAAACACCCTGATTTTGTTCACTTTTGTTTTCATATACAAGAATCTTTACAGTCAACATGTACTTCTAGATGCTGTATTGAAATTGCTGGCAGAGTCTATTCTATACAAACTGAACAATCTGGCCCCTTGTTTTATTTGTAAAGGTTCAATGTATCTATGCCTGCCTACTTCAATCTGCAAGGGAGTGTCAGAAAGGCCCCGCATTCGCCGAGCCGTGAGTTATCACTAACTTTTCAGATGTGTTAATGAATGTGGAACAAAAGCAGTTGTGTTTAAAAGCAAAAAAGGACCATCAAAATAACCTTTATTATAGTAGCAGGCTGAACACTAAATGGATTATTCCAAATTGTGTCAAAAATAACCTACTAGAGACTATCCTCTAGAAAACCTATTGTTGAACTGCTCTGAAGCTATCATTTTAGCTGTAAATTACTGTTCTTCAAACTTCATATGCCCTGGTTACAAATTAGAATTTTCTTTAAATCTTTTTAACCATGTTAAAACAATTTGAACAAAATCTTACCCCATCTAAAAATGACACTATTTAGTTGAATTCAAGTTAAACTCTTCAATGTAAGACCACATGAAGGGGTAAAGTTTTAACCTTTTTTGTTATTCACATGTGGAAACACAGAAATTAATTTAAATGATTGAATCACTTCCTAGATGAAAGTTTTTGGAGTGCTGCAGGCATCATGTGAAGTACAGAGGCATTTACAATATCTTTTGGTACCAATAGTTCTCGCTTCAGTAATTCACCAGTAGGTTTTCATTCATCATTGATACCAATTTGAGGCTAAAATAAAACACCTACATTTCTTAGGGCTTATTCTGTATAGAAAGAGGAAACGTCTTTTGAGTTTTTCTTTCGTTTTTCCAAAGAGATTCTAAGCAAAAAAAATTGTAACTAACATCAGTATTTTGTTATTATTTCTAGTTACTTTTCTTTTTCTTAGACTCTTTAAAGTTTTGAGTAGATAGCCATATTTGATAAGCAAGTTGGATGCTTCAGTTGCTTAGGAGGTGTATTGTGTTATATGAAGACAGAATCAATTTAAATGTACCCAGTTTGGCAATATATATATAGCACAGAATACATAAAACTTGGAGATATGGAACCTTTGGAGGCATTAAAGTTAACATTTCATTTAGGCAATGTGCCTTTGTTTGACTGGTGTGTAAGTCCTTCTTCCAGGTTTGTACGCTCTTAAACGCGTTATTCTACCCTCTAACTCCTCCCAGCAGCAAAAAGGGAGACACTTCAGCTGGAACAAAATAGTGGAAGAAATGGCGTCTGGGGTTCAGTGGGGATTCGCAGTGTGTATGCAATGTTTGCAAGATTACTTTTTATGTTTTCAATTACTGTAAACAATTACAAAATATATCAATGCTTATCAAGAAGGGAACATTGTATACCAGTAGAAACTCTCCTAGTGGGTCTGCTGCAAGTCGCTTAACCTGTTGGGGCCTTAGTTTTCTCATCTGCAGTATGAAGGAGTTGGACTCAATAATCTTTAAGGTCCATTCCTGCTCTAAAACCCTATGCTTTTCTGAAGTACTGTATTTAACAGAATGCATTGCTTTCCCACTTTGACTATTTGAATTACATGTGCAGTATACTTACTGCAACTGCATGTTCTCTAAAATAGCTTTTCTATAGGATGTTATATAAAAAACTAATCCCTCTTGAGCTGATTTATAAATGTGTGTGTATATAGCCACACATAAAAAGCTAGTGGTAGTAGGGCTCTCAGAAAATAAATACTTTCCAGTTGTCTAACCTTGAATGTTATTAACTTTTCTATATTACAGGAGATACTACTCGCCAGCGAATCAAATTCAGTGATGACAGAGTGTGCAAGAGTCACCTTCTCAACTGTTGCCCCCATGATGTCCTTTCTGGAACTGTACGTAGTTTTTAAATTTATTGTTTGATTACTGGTATGCTGTAGTAATGAACTACTTGATGAATTCTTAATTCTTTATCAAATTATTAACAATTTTTTGACACTGTGTTGCTTTCCTTATTGTTTATTCAGGTTTGATGATTTAAATCTGCAGTAATGGGTTTCCTCAGAAAAGTAGTTGATGTTTTTTTTTATGTTTATATTTTTTCCATTCTTCAGAGCAATTTTTAAAAAAGCATTTGGAATACAGAGGTAGTTATGATGTTATACAACATTTGCACTTTTAGTTGAGAAATAATATAATTGATTTTTAAAATAGTTCCCTTTACTGTTAAACAGAGTAGACTTTTGTACAGACCAGTATACATTTTGATTAAGATTTGTGAACATTTATATTGAGGAGTCAGTGGGGGGAAACATATTAATAAATCACCCACCTTAATTTGAAAGTAGTGTTATTACTTAAAATTCATCCATATTGCTGACTCCTAATAACATAAAACTCAATTGAGATTCTGTGTTTGCAGAGATGTTGGTTGATCTTAGAATATCATCATCTTAATTTGGAAAATAAACCATGTGGTGACGGACCTATTTAAACAGAACAAACGATTTGATTCCCTGAGTTTTGGATTTGGGTGAAATGATTACCACAATTAGCTTCTCGTTGCATCTGATGGTAATGGGGAGCTAAGAGGGGCTAAACCTTGAGCTGGTTTTATTTCTCATTTGCCAAAAATGACTAAAATGAAGAAAAGATATCTGGCTTGCCTTTTCAGAAGCTATGAGTTCCTTAGTTAAAGATGCCTAAATCAATGGTTTCTTTTTTGATTGGAAGAGTTAAATTAAGGACATATGCTGAAGAGAGATGTATCAAAGCATGTACAATAGAAAACATGTCTTTTTCCAGTAGGAAAGATAATTGAACTATATTATGTTAAAAGGAAAAAAGAGCCCTTTTTTAAAAAGGATACTATCACAAGAAGAAATCTAGTTTCTGAGCACTTGAATTAGGAGTGTGATAGATAATATAACAGATAAGCTCCCTTATATCTACTCTTTAAAGTTTATATAATTGAAGTATTTTAGACTGTGCTATAATGCATTTGAAATCTATAAAATCTGTAATTGTAGCATACTTTGATTCTCCACATTTACTATTGTATAACATTTAAGTTAAAGTCATTTCATGGTTAAATTATCATTTCAGATAAATTTTGAGAACAAGATTAACAAAAGGGCAAAATTTATTTTTTATTTATTTCATTTTTTAATACTCTAAAACCAGCCATAGCAAGACTTTGACTTGTTATATTCTTCAGGTATGGCATTAATAATAAAAATAAGACTTCACAGTTGTTCACATTTCATAATGTCTGTACCATATTTATGCTCATTTCTTAAAATAATTGTGAGGTATATTATTGAACAGTTTACACATTGGAATTTAGCTTTATTAAGTGACTTACTCAAAAGCACTGAGCTTTGTTAAAACTGAGACCAAATTCTAATTTTTAAAAAATATTTGCAGTGTTTTTTATTGCAGAAAATTTCCAACATATATAAGCAGAGATAGAATACTAACACGAGCAGTCATAGACCTAATACTTATCACTCAGCTTTAACAAATTATTAACATTTTGCCATTCTTCAGACTCAAATTTTCTGATCTGATTGTCCAGCGTGCTTTCTGCTTTGCAAGGAATATTTAATCTTTTATGATCTTAAATAAAAAAGATGAGTAACTCTGGGACTTTCCTTCTTCTAAAATTCTTATCGATGGATTGTAAGATAAACTTTTTTTTCTTTCAAATTTTAACAACTCTGAAATGTGCATCTTAAAATCTATGGTAGAGGTTGGGCGCAGTGGCTCACGCCTGTAATCCTAGCACTCTGGGAGGCCGAGGTGGGTGGATCATTGGAGCTCAGGAGTTCGAGACCAGCCTTAGCAAGAGCTAGACCCCATCTCTACTAAAAATAGAAAGAAATTAATTGGCCAACTAAAAATATATAGAAAAAATTAGATGGGCATGGTGGCGCATGTCTGTAGTACCAGCTATTCGGGAGGCTGAAGCAGAAGGATTGCTTGAGCTCAGGAGTTTGAGGTTGCTGTGAGCTAGGCTGATGCCACGGCACTCTAGCCCAAGCAACAGAGTGAGACTCTGTCTCAAAAAAAAAAAAAAAGAAAAAGAATCTATGGTAGAAAAACATTGTCTTAATTCGTTGCATTTTTCTTATGGTACAGAACATGATGAAGTTTGAAATTGATGATATCGTGAATTACATAAAAAACAGTTAAGACAAGCTCTTCCGAAGGCACCTTCAGAAAAGACTCTGGAAGAAAAATCTCTACCGTTTGTCAGCCTAATTAACAAGATACTGTTGTATGTAAAGATAAGATTAAGTTGTGAACTTCTTGCAGAATTTAAAAAGAGTTTTGAGTTGTGAACCTCTTGCAGAATTTAAGCAGATTTTTAAGGACTAGCTAAAGGACTTTGTGAGACTCCAGAGTTGTCACAGAGTGGTATCCTTAAGAACTTGAAAACCAGCCAGGCGTGGTGGCTCATGCCTGTAATCCTAGCACTCTGGGAGGCCGAGGCGGGCGGATTGCTCGAGGTCAGGAGTTCAAAACCAGCCTGAGCCTGATTGAGACCCCCGTCTCTACTAAAAATAGAAAGAAATTAATTGGCCAACTAAAAATATATAGAAAAAATTAGCCAGGCATGGTGGCCATATGCCTGTAGTCCCAGCTACTCGGGAGGCTGAGGCAGCAGGATTGCTTGAGCCCAGGAGTTTGAGGTTGCTGTGAGCTAGGCTGACGCCACGGCACTCACTCTAGCCTGGGCAACAAAGCGAGACTGTCTCAAAAAAAAAACAAAAAAAAAATTTGAAACCATACATTGTGTGATTTCTCATGAAAAAGCCACTGTTTATAACAGTTCACCCTATGTACAAATGGTTTGTAATTACAGAGCTATGACTTCTTTAGCAACCAATCCCTATAGAACAAATGCTTTTCTGGGACATAGTCTAATAGTTGACAGCTCTTTATGTTGAAGATGTCTGTTTCTTTTCTTTTTACATATTACATGAAGAATGAAAATAACTAAATTATAACTGATATTTTATAATACTTTTTCTTGTTGTATGTCTGAAGGTTGCCCTTTAGTTTCCTGACCTTGTTCGTGTGATCTGTCACTTCCTAGCAGAATATGACTTACCGATACTCTACATTATTTTTTTTTTTTTTTTTTTGATCTCTCATGGAAGTAGAATACTCTACATTATTTAGCAAAAGAATAACATAGAAGCTTGGTGTGGTAGCTTGTGCCTCTAGTCTCAGCTACTCAGGAGACTGAGGCTAGAGGATTGCTTGAGCTCAGAAGTTTGAGTCCAGCTTGGGCAACTTACTGAGACCCCCATCTCTTAAAAAAGTAAATATAAAGGATATACAGAAATGTATTCCTAGCTATTTTTATTAAGGAGGTTGGACTTTATATCAAGCACTTGGAGATGGAGAATGTGATTTCTGAAACTTGTATTCATAATTCACATTTAGTATGGACTTTCTTTCATACTGAATGAAATTCAGTTTCATTTTCATTTCAAAAATGTTCCTGTAGCATTTTACCTTTGTTAGTCTGGCATAACTAATTCTTAATTAGCTTAAGATGAACAGAATCAAAATAATTAGATTTTTGGCTAATTATTTTATAAGAAATATAGATATTTCTTATAGCTTAGGCAGTTACTATACTTCAAAGACTTGGATTATTTTCCTATTCATCTAGAATATTTTCTTATTCTAGTCCCACTCTTTTCCTCCTTTTGACAGACTTGGTTTCTCCCTGTTTTATTCATTGTGCAGACAGTAAGCAACATCCCTTTCAGATTGCAACAAAAAACCTAAGCTGACTTGTTATTTTTTCCAACCCCAATACGTTGTTTGTGGTGCATATCTTCCCTGAGGAAAGATAAAGATACTGAAGTGCTTTTTTTTTTTTTTTTGAGACAGAGTCTCACTTTGTTGCCCAGGCTAGAGTGGGTGCCGTGGCATTAGCCTGGCTCACAGCAACCTCAATCTCCGGGGCTCAGCGATCCTACTGCTCAGCCCCGAGTAGCTGGGACTACAGGCATGTGCCACCATGCCCGGCTAATTTTTTGTATATATATTTTTAGTTGGTCAATTAATTTATTTCTATTTTTGGTAGAGATGGGGTCTCGCTCAGGCTGGTTTCAAACTCCTGACCTTGAGCAATCCGCCCGCCTCGGCTTCCCAAAGTGCTAGGATTACAGGCGCATGAGCCACCACGCCCGGCCTGAAGTGCTTTTTAATATCTTTCCTAGTAGTTGTGATTTGGGAAAAAGTATATGATTGTATTAATATATCTAAAGCATTAAATCTAAAGCCAAAGATGTAGTAAGCTTGAAATTAAAATCTGCAGACATGGAAATGTATACTGTCATAATATGCCTATCCAGAATTCAGAAATGACTACCACTAATTTTATTATAGCTGCCATCATAATATAATTTTAGTGTTGAAAGGCCCTTATGTCTTCTAATGTAAAGTCATCATTTTATAGATGAGAAAAATTAAGGCTTAGAGAAATTGTGCTTGTCAAATATCTCACGATCAAAAAAATCAGTGTTCTATACCATATAGGAATCTTATGTTTACTTAAATCTAAATACTTACAAAAAATTTGTGGTGGTGTTAGTTTTTTATAACAGTGACTTTGAGATGTTTCTGAAACATCCTTGGAAGTATCTCTTGCACTAAGGACTTTATACTAAGGACTAGGCCAACATCTCCTATTTCAGCTACACTTGTGTATATTTTAACACATTAACTGCCATGTGAGTTGTATTTAACCCACTAGTTTTGAGCACAGGGCCTCGTGAAGCAAAACCCTGCATTTGGTCCATGAAAAATCTTGTTGATGTTCTTATTGTTGCAATTAATATTGGCAAGTTAATTCTTTTTTTTTTTTTTGGCA